TCTCCCTCTCTTTCTCTGACGCTCCACCTTTCCAAGCATGCTTTCCTTTTCAGGATTGGCCCTTTCTGACAACATGCCCAAAGTATGCAGGAAGTTTCACCATCCTGGCCTCTAAGGGGCACACAGGTTGCATTTACTCCGAGACAGATTTGTTCGTTTTTTCTTTTGGTCCATAGTATATTCAGTACACTTCTCCAACACAACTCAAAGGCATCAAATCTATCATCATTCTGTTCAACCTTCAGATATTTCTAAAGATAGTATTGAAACAACTCCTCTTGCTGTTTTTGTTGTTGTTAAGGTGTCGTTGAGTTGGGTTCAATTCTTAGGGACCCTATGAAAAATGGATCTGAACTCTGCCCTCTCCTGTGCCATTCTCAGTACTCAAGTTTCAACCTCTTCTGTGTATTTTGCTTCTGAAGATGCCTCTTACCTTTTTATACTCTCAGCTTTATGCATTTTAAAGGATATTGCTTTCTTCAGATTTTTTGTTTTGTTTTGTAGCATGAGGGTTACCAAATTTTCTATACCACTGGTTTTCAGTCAATAAAGACTTGGCCTCTCTCAAAGACATTTAGCAATGTCTGTAAAAATTGATGGTTGTAACTGAGAGAGTTCTACTATAATCTAGTTTAGCCAGGCATGCTGCTAAACATCCTAGAGTCAAGTGGGAAGTCAACATGAAATACTGTCTATTCCAATATGTTAATAATGCTAACACTGGAAAAGCACCTTAAACTAAAGTCTCTATTATAATTGTATTGTGGGAATATTTGGGGTTTTGCACCTGGATGCATAAATCTGAGTGTGATGGTTAAGGTTATGTGCCAACTGGACTGGGACATGACTTTCAGCAGTTTGGCAGTTATGAACTGTGTAATCTGGAAGTTAGGTCAAGTCATCCTCCACTGTGTGATCTGATTATTTTTGCATAAGGTTGATTTTCAAATAATAATAATAATAATAATAATAATAATAATAATAATCATCATCTAGTCTTTGGAATTTAACTACGTTGGTAAGTGAGGATGTTCTATCCTTATTTTTAAACTTTATATGAATGATCTAAAATTACACATCTTTTCTACAATTTCCTTTTTGTTGATGATAATCTCTCACGTTCAGTAGCTACAGGAATCAAAGGAAGGAGTGTATGAAATTGTTTAATATAGGCAGCTTTGGTGGCTTAGTGGTAAAGAATTACCCTAGTAACCCCAAGATACACAGTTCAAATCTACCAGATGCTCTGTGAGAGAAAAATAGGAAATCTCCTCTTGTGAGTTTGACTGTCTCTGAAAACCCACTGAAGGGTCTGTTATGAATCGGTTCTGAAACCTATGGTACTCAACAACAACTACAACAACACTCTCTAAACTCACCTGTGATTGGGATGAATTTATCCCAAATACCCCTACTTGAAGTGTAGTCTGATCTTGTCTACCACATGTCAATGAAACCAGTAACTGTGTTTCATACGCTTACTCCCTTATTCTGGAGCAGTCTTAACACTCACAAGTCCCAAGTCTACCCCATATGAAACCTACTGGTCTTCAGACTTTTATGTAAGGTTGATGCTTAAGTATGTTTTTAAAGAAATGACTAATAGTAGTAAGACAAAGTCAGCTAAAGCAGATCACCAGAAACATAAAAGCATTCCTTATAGGCTGTTGTTCTAAGTTGTCTTGAAGTCAGTTCTGACTCCAGTGACTCTGCATGTTTAAAGCAGAATTGTTCCAAAGGTTTTCTTGTGTCATTTATTTTTTTTTTATTTTTAAATTTATTTTATTTTGTTGCTGATACTGAGAATATGCACAATAGAATGTATACCAGTTCAATGAATCCTACATGTATAATTCAAGGACAGTGACTATATTCTTCAAGTTGTGCAATCATTCTCCTTTTCCACACTGTTCTCCCCTAGCTCTGTGGCCTGGTGGTAAGGAACCAAGCTGCCAATGCAAAGGTATGTAGATCTATTCTGCTGGGTACTCCACAGGAGAAAGTTGAGCAGTCTTTTCCTGGATGACTAACTGCCTCTGAAAACTCACTGGAGGGTCCCTATGAGCCAATTCTGACTCAGTGGCGAACAACAACAGTAACCTAAAAGGGAGCTCTGGTGCCTAGTGGTAAGGAACTGTGCTGTCAGTCCAAAAGCAAGCAATTCAAATCTTCCCCCGAGATTAACTGCCTCTGAAGACCTGTTGGAGGGTCAGCTTTGAGTGAGTTCTATCTCCACGGTAGCAACAGTAACAAAAGAGAGCCCTGGTGGCCTACTGGAAAGGATTGTGCTGTCAGCCCAAAGGCAAGTGGTTCAAATCCACTAGCTGCTTGGTGGAAGAAAGATGGGCAATCTCCTCTCATGTGGTTTGCTGCATTTGAAGACCCATTGGAGGGTCAGCTATGAGTCAGTTCTGACTCTATGGTACACAACTATAACAACAGTAACATAAACTCACTGTCTCCTAAGCTTTTATCTTTTGAGATCAAATACAAACCAACTTTTGTGCCTTGGATGGTAGCTTGCAAGCTTAAAGAACCCAAGTTCTATACAACAAACAAGGCAACAGTAAAAACTAAGCACACTACCAGGTCAATGAACAGGGAGGTCCCATGAAATTACTATTCCAAATTACAAAGTGAAATCCAAGAGGGATCTGGTTGTATACAACTCTCAGAAGCTGTTTAGTTTTATTGTAATGTATCCATCACTTAGCGTTTTTATGTTAATTGGCTGTGCACCCTTCATCAATGTAATTCCTCTATCATCATAACCCAAAACTCAGTGCTCCATAAAAAGCAACCCTACCCTAGTTTTCCATATTCGTTTCATCCCTGTAAATACTAATAAACTTTGGTCTCTATACATTTGCCGGGCTTTGTCATTTTTATGTAACAGAGGTGAGAGGTCAGAACATATTTGTCCTTCTGTGACTGACTTAATTCACTCAACAGTGTATTCATGCTTCACAGTGTTCTAAGTTGTGGACTTCCTGAGGCAGATCACCAGTCTGAGGCATCTCTGAATTTTAACTGCCAACTTTTCTTTCATTTTAGTAACTGATTGCTTTAACTGTGCCATCCAGAAATTCAGAATCGTGAGAGAAAAAGAAATAAAGTCTACATAACTCTATCCTTTCCGTTTCAAAAGGTGAACAGAAAGGGGTGGAGGAAGTAAGAGTGAAAACCTTAGCTGCAAATTAATACATCTTCTAAGGGTGTAAAGAGGCTGGTTTCAGAATGCCACAGTGAGTCCTAGTTAGATCAGGACACTCCCATCCAGGAGACAGCTGACCTCATGGCTGCCCTCCTCCAGACACAGAGTGAAGTCTGCTGACATCTTACACCAAGCAGGGCCAGCAGCTGTTACAGAGGAGACATCCAGTACTCACTCAGTCAGAGGGAGAGATTACGAATGTAGGGAGAGTACCTCAAAGTCCACTGGTGATTAGGCTTAATAAATGACAGGGAAGAAGATGAGCGCCCTAAAAATCACCAAAGTGGGGGAAAACAGGGCTATGTAGTATTTAGGGCAAACTATGGGTTAAGTCCAGAAACCTTTTATCTTTAAGAAAAGAAGAAATGTTCCGTTACACGGCCACTACACTACTGCTCACTCCTGTCCTGCAAATAGAGTTCCTGAGCTGACCAGGGCCCTCAAAAAAAATGAACAAAGGAGTCAGAGAGGAAGCAAGCTAAGATAGAGTCCATGTCTAGATATGTTGCTAAGAGTTTCAGAAAAATTTCTTTTGTTACTGCAAATATATCCAACATGTAACAACAGTTTTTGCATGCACCACATAGTGACATTAGTGCTTGATAATCTTTGAACTGTGCAACCATTCTCACGTACTTTTTATGAGCTATTCCTCTCCCCTTAACATAAACGCTCTACCTTCTAAAGTTTCTATCTAACCTCTCATGCTGCTACCAATTATTTGAGCCCATATAAAAGGTCCTAAAAGAGAAAAATGTCATGGCAGATATATTTTACTAGTTAAGCTAAACTATTATTTGGTTTTAAGACTTCAGGGGTTAATTTTAGTTGAAAGATTATTTCAGGGCCAGTAGTTGCAGGGGTTCACCCAACCTTCATGCTTCCAGGAAGTGGAGTCCATGTAACTCTAAAGTATCTTTGGATTCTACATAATCTTTGCTCAAAATGTTCACTAAGAGTAGCCAAGCACTATCCAGGTCTTCTGGTCTCATGTCAAAGGAGTAGTTATGATTTTAATATAAAAATATAATAGTATTTTAATATATTTATTACCTAATTAGGTAGCAGAGTGATCAATGATCTTAAATATAACTCAAGTCCAAAATCGGGAATAATAAGAGTAAAGTAGTCAAGGAAATTTTTATAATTTCAAGTAAAATATTTGTCTAGTTTTAATACTACGTACAAAAGAATGAAAGCTCAATATCACTATAATAAAGTTGCAAAGGAAGATTTCAGTGCAACACTGTAAGGTGGCCTAATTAGATCGAAACAAAAAATACTAACTTTGAACTGTGGTGTTGACAAAGAGTACTGACTATACTATGGAGTTCCACAAGAGGTGCATGTAGGATGTTCCTTCGAGGCAAGGAGTGTGGGACTTTGTCTCACATACTCTGGTGTTGCTGTCAGGAGGGGCCACTCTACAATCTAGATGGTCTGTGAAGGAGAGGAAGACCTTCTATGAGATGGGTAAACACAGAAGAGACTGTGACAATGGTGCAGGATGAGGACAGGTTTCAATCTGTTGAACATGTGTCATGAGTCAGAGCTGACTTGTTCGCACCTAACAAGAACAACAGTTTAAGCACTAAAGGTCATAATGCAGCAATACACATATTTCAAGGAATGTTCAACCACTTCTTGGGGAAGAGAAAGGAACAAAAGACTTAGATTCAGTGGACACACTGATTCGCAAAACGTGCTCACTAATCACCACCAGACCCAGCTAATATGTTCTCCTAGGTCAGAACTGCATTTGCAAGCCTCTTTGCTTTTTCCTTACCTAAGTAGATCACCGATAGTGATTTCAGGGATGAACTTCTGAAGATGCTTCACTGTTGCACTGAGAAAACAGGCCTTATACATTTCACTAACTCCAAAGGAGAAATTCTCGAATACGAGTTTACCCAAGCCACTGGAAACAAAGGAAAAAATCTTTATGAGAGAAATTATTTTTTTTAATCAACTATTATTTGTTTTGTTGCATTTTATTATTTTTTAGGGCGTAGGGTACCATGAAATCTAGACAAAACCAGAAAACTGAAATATAAAGAACTCATCTCTTAATCATTAAGAGTAACTCAGAAGACGTTTGCCATCAAGTCAATTCTGACTCACAGCAAAACTCCAACAGGTTTCTGGGCTGTAAACAGTAAGGGAAGGGATGGGCCATCTTCTCCCAGGGAGCCAAGGTGGACTTGAAGCTCTAGTTAGCAATACAACAAGTGAGCCTGGTTTGATTGGCTGGTAATTAAAACCAATTAAGAGGTAAACAATGCCTTCCAAATTTCAAACCATTCCTGTGGGCTGCTAGTAGCCTGCCAAGGGTAAGCCATTCTAATGAAATTGTTAAGTGTTTTCAAAAGACCCAGAAGGCATTAACAGATATTTAAGTGAGAGCATTCAACAAGTGAGGACACTCACCCTCTTTTTCTTCAGCCAGCCAGGGTAGTATGGAGTCTCCAGTGAGAAGCTAAGAGCCTAATTAAACCTATTTACATATGTCCTTTTCCATGTGCTAAAGCACAAGGATATGACTTAAAGACTAAGGCACATCTTTTCATTTGCTCTACATGTGTGTGAAAATAACGAAGACTGAAGAAGTAGAGACGGCTTCAGTTGTGGTATTGGCAGAGAATACTGAAAATACTAATGGAGGACCAATGGTGGCAAAGTGCTTAACCTATCGGGTTGTTAACCAAAAGGTCAACAGTTTAAGTCCACCAGCAGCTTAGCTGCACAAAGACAAACGGGCAGTTTCCTCCTGTAAAGATTTAGGCATCAAAAACTCGAGGAGGGTTGCTACAAATCGGAACTCGAGGGTAATAGTTTTTTTTTTTTATTTTGGTAATAGATGTGTGTGTGTGTGTGTGTGTGTGTGTGTGTGTGTTTTTGTACACATACTAAAAGAAAAAACTCGTCTTGGACGAAGTGCAGCCACAGTGTTCCTTAGAAGCAAAGACGGTGCCACTTAGTCTCCTATTCTTCGGGCATGTTTTCAGGAGTGTTTTACACTTCGGGCATGTTTTCAGGAATGGCCAGTCCATGGAGAAGGTCATCGTGCCTGGAAAGTTCTTGCAGCTGTTAGGTGTCCCCAAGCCAACTACAAATCATAGAGCCTTATGATCCGAAACCTTGCCTATCCTGCACCATTCACACAACTCATTGCCATCACTGCAACAATCTATCTTGTTGACGATCTTTCTTCTCTTTTGCTGTCCCTCTACCACCAAGGACTGGCCCCTCTTGCTGACACGACCAGAACAACTGAGATGAAGTTTCACCATCCTTGCCTTTAAGAAACCTTGGAAGCACTTCCTCCAAAACAGATTTGTTTGTTCTGGAATAGCCCATGGAATATTCAATACCCTTTGCCATCACTGCAATTCACCAATTCTTCTTCAGTCTTCCTGATTCATTGTTAATTTTCCTATGCATATGAAGAAACTGAAAATACTATGATTTGAGTCAGACACACCTTAGTCTTTAAACTGATATACTTGCCCTTTATCACTTTAAAGAGGTCTCTGACTGCAGATCTGCCCAATGCAATACATATTCTGATTTCTTGATTTGTTACCATGAGTGTTGACTGTGGATCCAAATTAAGCAAAACCGTTGACAATGTCAATCTTTTTTCCATCAATCATAATGTTGGCTTACTGGTCTACTGGTGAGGATTTTTGTTTTCCTTATGATGCAATGTAATCCATATTGAAGGCTGCAGTCTTTGATCTTCTTCCAAAAATGTTTTAAGTCTTCTTCACTTTGTTCAAGCAAGACTGTGTCAGCTCCATAAAGTAGATTGTTAACGAATTGTCCCCTAATCCTGATGCTACGTTTTTGAGCTTCTTGTTTTGGGAATGAATCCCTTCTAGTCAGTTGGTCAGATTTTAAAATTGCTCAGCATAATCTAGTGTACATATCCAGGGTTTGAATCTATTTGCTGAAATACTTTAATTGGTATTCTGTCAATTCCTGGGACTTTACTTTTCCTGCCTTAAGTGCAGCTTCAACTTCTCTTTATTATTATTGGTTCTTGATCATATACCACTTCCTGAAATGGTTCAGTGTCAACCAAACCTCTTTGGCACATTGTTCTTGTTGTTATGTGCCACTGAGTCAAGTACAACTCATAGCGACCCTAAGAACAAAAGATCTGAACCCTGTTCTATCCTGCTCTATCCTCACACTTCCTGACACACAAGAGCCCATTGCAGCAGTCATCATGTCAATCCACTTGATTGAGGGTCTTTCTTTTCTTCACCAACCCTCCTTTCCCAGAATCTTTCTCCAAGGAATAGCCCCTCCTAGCAACATGCCCCAGGTACGTGAGGCAAAGCTTCATCATTCTTGCCTCCAAAGAGCACTCTGGCTGCATCCTCTTCAATAATTTCTGTCGGTACATTAACTTTGTATATTCCTTCCCTCTTCTTTTGATGTTTCGTGTGTAATTCTATATTTTGCCCATAGAATTCCTTCATATTGCCAACTCCAGGCTTGAAGTTGTCCTTCAGTTCTTTTAGCTTTAGAAGTGCCTAGTCTATTATTCCTCTTTTGGTTTTCTAACTCCAGTCCTTTGCACATATCATTATAATACTTTGTCTTCTTGAGCTGTCCTTTGAAATCTTCAATGCAACGGATTGTCACTGTAACAATAAGCTTAAGCACAAGAAAACAATAACAAAGAAACCTTATTAAGTGTTCTTCAGGACAAATACAGCAATCTCCTCCTGTTATGATTTACATAGCCTTAGAAGTGATGGAGGGTGGCCATGAGTCAGAACTGACTTGACAGCAGTGAGTTTAAAAAAAAACAAACCAACTGGTGTCACAGTGGATTAGGAATTGGGTGCTAACCAAAAGGCAGTCAACTGTAATCCACCAGCAGATCCTGGGGAAAAAGATAAGAGAGTTAGCTTCAATAAAGATTTACAGCCTTGGAAACCTTATGCATGGATAGATCCCTGAACCCACCTGCCATGGAATCAAGTCTTCCTTTAGATGTCTGAGGCTGCAAATTCTTATGGGAGGAAATTGCTCATCTTTCTTCTGTGGAATAGCTAGTGGATTTGAACCATTGGATGTTGACAGTGGATGGGAAAAGGGCTCTGGTAGTGAAGAGGTTAAGGCACTTGCCTGCAACCCAGAGGCAGGCAGTTAAAAGTCACCACTTATTTTGTGGGAGAAAGATAGGCAGTCTGCTTTTGTACAGATTTATATACTCTGTCCGATGTAGTTTTGAGTTGGTATTGACCTAGCAACAGCGTATTTGAGTTTTTGAAATTTATGAATGTGGAATCCCTGGGTAGTTCTAACATGAATGTGCTTAACTGCTAACCAGAAGACCAGAGGTTTAGTCTATTCAGAGATACCTGAAAGAAAGGTCTGAGGATCTAATTCTGAAAATTCAGCCCTGAAAATCCTACAGACCATGGCTACTCTGACACACATGAGGTCATGGTGAGCCAGAATCAGAATCAATTCAGCGGCAACTGGTCCATATGTATGCATTTGTATGAGCACGTATGCTGGGAAGCCCCTCCCTAGACCTTCTGTTTGAGAATCTCTGGAAAATGAAATCCAAGTATAGCTTAAAATGCTTTCCAGTGATTTTGATGTGAAACCCTCAAGAGAAAAACACTGTGAGAATGACCAAATAAAATACTCAAGTAATTTTTATAGCAGTAAAGAATCTGCATCACAAGTCAATGCTATTTTTCCACAAAAGAAAACAACGGAAGTCATTACCTGTTTATCCAGGGGCTAACAAAATGACGGTGACTGACTTGAATAAATGTTACCAAAGCAAGGTTTGTAATGATATTTTTTCTTCTTTTCCAATGAGAAGGTTAGCAATATAAGATTTAGATGTTCAGATGTGTGGCAGGTTCTTAGTCTTACTCTTTTTAAATAAGCCATTTTCCTGGCTCATCACAATTTTCCTGAAGTAGTTAAAATATTAACCTATTTCACAAAGCTCTTAATTCTTATGAGTAAAATCAATATACTATAACAAATAAAAAGGATTTACCAAGTAGAGTATAAAGAAAAAATTTAACACATTAAAACTATAAGCATGTAAAGATAATTTCAGAAATAAAGAAAGCTATTACCTGTTGATAATTATATCCATAACATCTCTGACACTGAAATCAAAGGGTTTGTAACCCTCTCGTTTAAAGGCAAGAATTGCATTAGGCCCTAGCCAAATACTGCCATCCATTCTTGGTGTGAAGTGAACTCCTAGAAAAGGAAACCGGCTATCTGGAACCTGTGGATTTAACAGAGTAAAGAACTATTAGCATCATTTCATATCCATTTTCTCAACAATGCAAGCATTCAGTTAGTAACACAAAACACTTTCTTTTGATGCATTTAATCTGCATTATTTATGATCTGTACTCAGATAATCTTTTCTATTAATGTTCTTCTGCTTAGAAATGCCACATGGGAAACCCTGATGTTACTGACATCTGTCCTTTCACACCTTTTTCGGTAAGCAATAATAATAATTAATAATAATAATAATAATAAAATATTAACTGCCCTACTTGAGGTTATCCTCCCCAGCTTATATATTTGCAGTTACATAAAACAGGACCTGCCAGAAAAACAAACTAACAGCAACAACAGTAAAAAAGGGTAACATATTCACAGCACATGCTTTGTCCTGTGGGAATGTAAGATAAATTTGATGTTTTGAAAGAGTAAAACAACATCAAATAGCTGAGTATTAATTTCATCTAGTTCAACCTAATATGTTTTAGTGGATTCACTTACAAATAGTTGCAGACAGGAATGAGCGCCTCATTTAAACAGGAATTTCCTATCCTGTAAAACAACAGAGTGGTCTCATCTCCTTTTCTATACCCACAAAAAGTGGTGGGAGAAGTCAGGCTGCGCATTTGAGACTGTCTTAGGGCAAGTTCTTTTCTTAGTGTGCCCTCCATAAGAGTGAATAATCCCATTCTTTCTTGATAGCACTTGCCATGGGGCACTGGTTTTCTGATGTGTGCACAAATAGCTTGTCACAAATCTCCCTTATTTCTGGCCAATTTTGTTTTTTATACCCTCTATGCCCACAACCATCTCGAGAAAATTCAGAAGGCAGAAGTAGCATTACCTACCGGGTAAATATTCCCTTTTACAAGATAGGATTTTTCTGGTTTCAAGAGCAGATAATCACCTCGGAAGGGTACAATTCGAGGATCAGGATTGCAGCCACTCATCTCTGAAATACGGTCTGAATAAAGTCCTGCACATGTTATAACATTCTGACACCAAACCTCCTCTCCCTAGTGCAAGGAAAGCAACAGTGATTTTTTTACAAAGTGGAGAAGAGTAAAATAGGTTAAGAGGAGAAAAAGATGAGAGGAAAAAATAAGAGTATAGAAACAAAGTGTTTTCCTTTTAAAAAGATGAAATTAAAGACAAATGTTGGCAAAATTAGTAAATTCTTTTAGCATTTGGGTAGTGACATGTGTAAGAATGTAAATTGCATAAGATTTCCCATCTTACTCCTCAGAGCTCCTGGTGTACCACCAGGAAGCATGGCCTCTCGAAGTTAAGACAATCCCCTATGAAATAATTTAACCTTTTATTTATATTAAATAAATTTTACTTTTTATATTTAACAATATATAAGTAAGGGAATTATGGTGACTTAGGACTAAGGAACTATGTTCCCAACCCAAAGGCATGTAGTTCAAATCACCAGCTGTTCACCTCAAAAAAGTCAGGCCATCTTTCCCATGCCCCCACGTGACTGGCTTTCTCTGAAAATCCAAAACCCGCTGGAGCATCAGCTTTGAGTCAGTTTTGAATCGATGGCACAGAACATCATCATCTAATGTATTTTAAAATTTTGTAGTAAAATGAATAGTATTGAATTATTGTTCAATATGTTGTGTTGTTGTCATATACCCTCAAGTCAGAACCAACTCATAACAAACCTCTAGCAGGTTTTTGGAGGCTTTAAGTCACACAGGATGAGACTGCTCATCTTCCTGGTAGAGTAGTTGATGGATTTGAACTGCCTGCCTTTGAGTTGGCAGTACAACACCTTAGTCACTAGGCCACCACAGCATCACAAATTTCTTTCTTAAAACACAAAATTATATTTCATAAGTAAGATATTTTCTCCTATCTCTCATAAGTCTTTAATTTGCAAAACCTCTTCCTGAAAGTAATTTTTAAAACTCTATTTCTTGTATAAAAGCACTGGGGGTTCCTGACATATGTATGTAAATATCTGACTCTAAACTCCCAAACCACCAAGGACTATCTCTTAGTATCTTGACTAAGAGGAAATGCCAAAAAAGAATCATAACAACTTTGTTAATGATTTCATTTTACTTGGATCTACAATTCACACCCATGGTAGCAGTGGTCAAGAAATCAAGACATATCACATGGGGGACAATCTACGAAGGACCTCTTCTAAGTGCTAAAGAGCAAGAATACCCTATAGAGACTAAGGTGTGGCTGATCCAAGTATTTTCACCAACTTTCTAAGTATGTGAAAGTTGGACAACAAATAAGGAAGATTAAAGGAGAGTCTGTGTCTTAGAGGTGTGGTGCTGGAGAAGAGTCCTGACTATCCCATGGACTGTCCAAAAAACAAACAAGTCTGCCTTGGAGGAAATGCAGCAAGGCAGCCTGTTGAGAGACAAAGACGGGGAAACTTTGTCTCACATACTTTGGGCATGTTGTCAGGAGGGGCCGGTATTTGGGGAAAGGACATTATGCTGGGAAAGGTCAGCAAAAGAGGAAGACACAGTGACACTAACAGTGGACTGACTCAGTGAATGCCATAGTGATGGTAAAGTGGTTGGAGAGCAGGAAGATGCAGCAGGACAGGGCAAGATCTGGATCTACTGTTTATAGGGTTGCTATTATTTGTAGTCAACTTGACAGCACCCAACAATGACAACAACAATATATCAACTATAAGCCTGGTGCTGTAATTGGTAATAATATCAGGTTGCTAACTGAAAGCTCAGCCACCCATCCCTCCACGGGAGAAAGACATTTCCTCCCATGCGGAACTGCAGGACTTTGGAAGAAAGCTATGCTCTCCTTTGCAGATAATTATTCTCCTTTTGAGAAAGCACTGCTGGCTTGGGCTGAATGCTTGACCATAGGTCACCCTGTTACCATGTGATATAACTATTACTCACTGGGCATTCTCTGACTCACAAGTCACAGTATTGGGTGCATACAGTATCACTCCACCACCATGAGAAAGGATAACACACAAGATAAAAGCTACAGAGGTTCTACAGGCACAAATAAGTTACAGAGGCAAGTGGCTCAAATTCTCATGGCCCATTATTGTTGTGGTTGTTAGGTATTAATGAAGAGGTTCTGACGCTCATCAACTCTCCCAAAGCACATTTATATAAATTCCAACTCACAGCAACCTTAAAAGACCTTAACTCAGAGAACTGCCCTACAGGGCTTCTGAGGCTGTAAAACTTTTTAACAACAGACTGTCTCATCTTTTTCCTGCTGAGCGGCTAGTAGGTCAAACTATCAACCTTTTGGTTAGTAGACAAGCATTTTAAGCACTGTGCTTCCAGGTCTCGGACCTACTTCTAATAAACTGCCTTCTACCAACTACCCCTATGACACCAAGGGAAGATCTCTATGGCCAGCTGACCAAAAAGGGGGAAAATAAATACACAGAATCCTTTTACAAATGATTCTATAGAACATTCTGGCACCTCCTGAAAAATTATAGCACCAGAGCCTCACTTAGGAGTGGCCCGAATTTGTGATGAATGGAAGTCATCCCAGCAGACAGAACTCTGAGGGCCCCATCAGATTCTCCATCTTGTCCAAGAGAGACAGATTTACATTGCTTCAAATGCAGGAACTAATGTGTGTCGCTGAGTCAGGACCAACCTATAGCTGAACCTCCAGTTGGTTTTCAGAGGCAATAAATTGCATAGTAGGAACCTGCCTCTCTTTCTCCTATAGAACAGTTAGTGGATTTGAACGGTGTGCTTTTGAGATTGCAGCACAGCTCTTAACCAATCATTAGAGCTCCTCTAAAAAGGAGGTAGGAAGCAAGAAGGAAAAAAAATAGGGAAATGGATCTTGGCAAAGAGAAAATTTGCTCCTAAGATGCTTACTGGCTATATGGGGTTTTTTTGGTTTATATCCAAGGTCAGATGCCGTTAATATGCTAAAATTTGGCACTCACACACATTGTTTTCAAAGTTATCTGTGATACAAGGTTGTCACTGTGAACCTAATGTAGTTGGTCTGCCTCACCCAGCTAAAGAACTACCCAGATGGGAGAGACTGAAAGAGGCAACATGTGAGCTATAGTAGTGGTACAGTGTCCAGCAATTGTAGTGGCTGGTCAGGGAAGCTGCTGACAAGCTCTGGAGAAGAGTTACATGGATTTTTCCAAGGGGCTCATGGGGAAAATTATGTCAGTCTCATATGAATAAGCATGTAAGAATTACCTTGGCAGAGAAAGACTTTTAATAATCAGTAGACAAGATCATGTATCCTGTGGACCTTAGTCAGCCTCTTTTCCTAGCACTTCTGTCCTTGACTGATGTTTCGTAGCCTGAATGGCTGTGATAACGGGGATGGGGGTGATGCCTGGGCTCGGGAGCACGATCTTACCACAGCTGCTTTGTCAACAGCCACTTAAGAGTGTCTAGCTTTCCAACAGGAGAGGTCAACTAAGCCACTGATCAGGGCACCGGGCACCTCATCATAGAAAGAGCAGTACTTCCTTCTCAATAGAACAGACCCGGCTCTGGACATACATTTGTCTTCCTTGTCCATTATGCTTCTGATGAAACCAAACACACGTTTACAAAACACCTTATTTGCCATCAGGATAGTCTACACATAACACATACTTCTGATCAGTGAACTAATTTGAAAATAAATAAAAAACTATTTAAAAAGGTAAAACAATGTGTTTCTGCTCATGGAATGAATGGCTTTCACCATTTTTTTCACCACCTCAATGCAGCTGAGTAACAGAAAAGTTGAAACAGCTTTCATGCTTCAGTTTTAGCACCAGATTGCTGGTAGTATCTTGCAGACTCAGTACAATGTTCTGCAAGGTGCTGGATATGCTCTAAGGAAACAATCAATATTTGTGCTACTTCCCCACAGTCAGGATTCACAAGTCTGGAAATCAAGAGATAGAAACTGGAGTGTTGTTCTGTGTTGTTGAGTTGACTATGACAACACAGAGACCCTAGGAACCAAAGGCTGGAACCAGTGCTGTCCACACAATCTCCAACATGCTTGAGTCCATTGTTACAAAGAGTGCCGATCCATGTGGTTGAGGGTGTGAGTAGCTCTTTACTATTACCCTGCAGATCCATTAGTGAATATTTTGCAACCTGTCCCCAGAACTTGAGGCTCCAATGGGCTCTAAGTCTTATTTCTTCCTTGGTGATTTCTAACCACTTGGCCACCAGAGCTCCCTCCTTTCTACAACAGAGGACTAGATGCCTCCACTATAGAATAAGCAATGGCATTAGGTGGGAAGTTGGGATTACCACACTGTCACTTTGAGTTCCTCATGCTAGTGAATTAACAGGCAAAGCATTTCTGTGCTGAATAAGGTAACTAACTTGATTTTCAAGGAGAAATGGAGTTGCTACTACACAGAGGGCTGGAGGAGGATAAAGAGAGGAGTATACCTAGAATGTGGATCTTCAGAAGTAACTCTCTGGAGATAGATATACAAGTAAACAATCAATGGAATCCTAAGATAGTCCAAAGTAGGCAAGGCTGCCAGGGGAACACACAGTTGGATCACCTAATCAGAGCAGGAACCATGACCAGCTGAGATAATCACCAAGGAAAAGGAAATATGAAATAGGGAGTGGGAGAAGGCATTCTAAATATCAGCTATGACCACATGACTAGTTACAAAAAGGAAGACTGCAGTAGTGGTGAGGATTTCTTATTCACTTTGAAATAAATGTATTTATTTATATATTAACCAATTCTTTCTATCACAGAGAATGGGGGAGTATGTGTATGTGTGTGTGTGATTTGCCATTTCAGTATAACTAATGTATAATTCAATGACATTATATTTGTCATGTTGTTTAACCATCACTATCATCCATTTCCAAAATTGTCCATGTGTATCCCAAAAATAATGGGTTTCTCCTTTCTCTCCTCCCTTGTTCACCCCAATAACCACTGATAAACTTTGTTTATTCTGAATATTTAATAAAAGTGGACTTATACAACATTTGTCCTTTTGTGACTGACTGATTTCATTAAGAGGCAGTTCGAATCCACCAGCTGCTCCGCAGGAGAAAGATGGGCAATCTCCTCCCTTTCAATTAACTGCCTCTGCAAACCAGTCAGAGGGTCAGCTATGGGTTGGTTCTGACTCTACAGTACACAAAAACAATGTCTATTCATCTGTTTACTCTAGACAACGTCATGTAAGGGAGAGTATATAACACTTGTCCTTTTGTGATTGACTTATTCAGTATACTGTTTTAGGGGTTCATCCACATTGTGGCATGTAACAGGATTAAGTTCTCTTTTTAGTTGGGTAATGTTTGTTGTATATGTAACTCATTTTTTCACCTTCAATTTTCTGTTCTCTCCAATCCCACTCCCCTTTATCATTATCTGAAAGCATTTCTCAAACTTGGTATTACTGACTTAGGAACCAGACAGTTCTTTGTTGTGGGGGGCCTGTAAGTACACTATAAAGAGTTTTTAAGCTTCTTTGGCTTCTCCTCACTAAACACTAGTGCCATCCCCACGTCCTTTCTAAGTTGTTATTATATGTCCTTGAGTTGGAACCAACTCCTAACTAACCCTCCAGCAGGTTTTCAGAGGCAGTTTAATCATATGGGAGGATACTGTCCATCCTTCTCCAGGGGAGAAGCTGGTGGATTTGAACCATGTGCATTTGGGATTATAGTGCAGCTTCTTACAACCTGGCCACCAGAGTTCCCTCCTTTCTAAGTAGTTACAATCAAAAATGTCTGAAGACATTATCAACTGTTCCTTGAGGGGCAAACTGCCTTCAGGTGACAATCTCTAGTGGTTAACCTTATGTTTCCTTATTTAAGTTATAGGAATCAAAGGGTTAGTATAACTGTGCTAGAAAATGGACAAACATCACCAAAAAATAAATGAGCTCTGCTCTGTCTCTTTTTTGAGGAAAGGGATGATGCATCTTTGGTTGTGTGATGGATAGTTGCATATTGTCAGGTTGAAAGCATTATTTGCTATTGTATCTGATAATTAAATATGGTTAGAAGATATGCCTACTGATTCCAAGGAGAGAAGAGGGTATCTGGGGGTTTTTCGACTGTGTCAACTTGGTTAATCTAGGAACTGATTATGTCTGAGAGCATCTTCTTTTCCATTTAGTTCCACTCTGCACACTATTTGGTAAACAGAAGCAAACATTTGCTGCCCAGCAAATTCCAGTGCCATATTTACCTCTGCATCCCAACTGCTGACCCTCCTAACCCAGAGAAGCTCAGGCCTCCTTCCTAAAATACAGATACAAGGGCAACATTCACACCTTTCCCCATGAGCAGCCTTACTCCGGATATAGACACATACGGCTTCAAAGACTGCAGATTTTTCTGCTCTGGCCAATCTTCACTTCCTCAGATCCTTTCACAACTATGTAAGGTCTAATTCTTATAATGAATCCCACAAAATTAGTAATTCTGCTGCCCTGACTGAATCCTGATGATGCAGTGAACATGTTTCTAAGCCAGTCAGTCGTTCCTGTTTCAGGTAATGTGGAAATGTCTCTTTGCACTCTTCCCTTTTGAAAATCTTCTAATTAGTAGAGAGTTAATAAGTTAATGTGGACATGGGTCAGTAGACAGATTATTTAAATATATACTAGTTTTGCCTTAAGAGGAAACATTTCCATACGGTTCTAATTCTTGTTCGTCAATTTACTTGATGAAGAAGTTCTCAAATGGAAACTTTCACCAGAATGATAGCTGTTACATTGATCTCAATGAATTTTTCTTGTAATGCTTTTATATTAAGCAAATTTCACTCAGTGATTTTTAATGCACCATCACTTCACTTTTTAAGAAAGGGGAGTTAATGAAAGGAGACAATAGTCTTGTTTAGGAATCTTTACCTTTGTATTCCTAATGACAACTGGATATTTCATTCCTAAAAAGAAAAAAAAAATCAGTGAAAGATTTCTTTTTAGCAAAAGATCTACATTATTTGTGATATTATCCTAGTAACAATTTAAATTCCTTTTTGCCGTCCCAATAATCACTTTGCCCAACTTTTCATACTGTGCTTTCTTATCAAGTGACAAAATTAAACTAGTTCATATTTGATACCTGGTAACACTCTGGTAAGCTTTTTTAGCTCATTTTTTATTTTAATTAATCTGATCCAAGCTTATAAAACCATTTGTCCACCTGAACCATCAGAATGTCTCTGAAATAAATCCTGAAAACCGTGTTGTAAAATGGACCATCACAAATCCTTTCTTCCCAAAGGCTGTTGTTGTGTACCTCAAGTTGGAAATGACCCACACCTGACCCTCCAGCACTTTTTCAGAGACAATTTAATCATGTGGGAGGAGACTGCGTTCATTTTTCTCCCAGGGAACAGCTGGCAGAATGAACTGTGTGCCTCTGGGATTGCAGTATAGCCTCTTACCACTAGGCCATCAGAGCTCCCTTTCAAAGGCTAATGAGATGTATTATTATAAATAATAATTATTAATTTTGTCTACAACTTTGTAGTCCAAATGTTGGTAACCTGAATCCTTGCAGATTCTATGTGAAGAGGGAAGAGTCAAAAAGTCACAACAGAAAAATTTTCAACAATAAACTATAAAACCTAAAATTATTTCCCACTTAAATAAATGGGAATTTCAAAGACTTATAAAAATATGCACACCAGGTCAATAATTCTATATACCCATGTAATAAATTTTATTTCTTATACTACTTATAAGAACTTTAATTCTGAAATGAACAATTTTGCTCATCTTAGAATTTAAAAAAATAGTGAGAGAATGGCACAGATGGCACAGATCTCCTTATACAAATCACTGGTTAAAAAAACCCCCACACAACAAAAACATCAGCCACTAACACCCCCAAAACAAAACAAAGCAAATTAAGCACAGTCTAAAATGAGGGGAAATGAAGGGAGTGGTATTTAGAAAGGCTGAGTCATTTTATGACCTTGAACTGTTAGTTTTTCTGAAACTCCCATTCACCTAGGAATCAAGAAACTCAACATCTTATTGCTGCTGAGTCGGAACTGACTCACAGCTGACCCTCCAGTGGACTTTTGGGGGCTGTATAATAATGCACGGGAGGGGACTGCCCCTCTTTGCCACAGGGAGTGGCTGGTGGAACTGAAATGTTAGAGCTCACGGCGCCCTTGGGTCAGCAGTGCCACTCCCCAAGGACCCCACCACCAGAGCCGCTACCCCCCGAGATAGATTGGTTCAGCAAGTCTGGATGAAACCAAACTCTGCATGCTTAGGATACTTGCAGGATAGAGAAAGATTTCCTAGACAATTGCCTAAAAACAGCCTTGGCAACTGAAGTTTTTAACACCAGTCAAGGTCTTCCCTTAGCACCCAGCTTTAACAGTCCAATGCCCTCCAGAAATCCTGATTTTTCCTTGTCCTGCTGCACCTTAAACACTTTTTCAACTCCCTCCAGCTCTATGCCTACTCTACCCTGGCCCCTCATCACCTCATCACCAGTGCTACCCAAGTTTCCCTATCCCCCTCTAACAGTGCACACTTCTGTGGGTAAGGAGTCCAAGAAGACAGTTTAGGGTTACAGTTCGCTCTAGCACAGGCACTATGAGAGGTCAGTACTAATGGGTCTGTCATAAATCCAAACTAATGGATTAAAAGGTCAATACAAATATTCACTAGAAAACAAGAATGACTTACCATCCTGACTTCCTGAAGGGCTTTCTTTCATCATTTCAATATCTTTTACTTCGAAATTTGTCAAAACTGAGCCACCTGCATCTTGGAAATCCTGGGCAAATGACAAAGCCACCTGCCGATAGTCCACAATGCCAGTATATGGGCAATCAATAGCCATTAGACCCTGCGATAGGATTGTGAAAACATCAAGGCATTAAAATCACTGAGTATAGGTTTTGTTCAATACATTTTATCTGGGCTGAATTATAAAACCCAAGTATACATATGTGATTAACTTTGTATTGTGATTTGAGTGAAAGTTTACAGATCAAATTGATTTTCCTTTCAATAATAACACACATTTTGTACCACTTAGTGCAATCCTCATATTCCAACAGCACACTTATCACTTACTCTCTGTGTCTCCTTCCCATTAGTCTTTTTTTCCTATCCCAAGGCAAATGCTGTCCTTTTGATCTCACCTGGTTGACTCAGGGGTAGAGTTACTATCACCACCTGTCTTGGAGGAAGTGGAACTAGGGTGCTCTTTAGAGGCAAAGATTGTGAAACTTTGTCTCACATACTTTGAGAATGTTGTCAGAAGGGACCAGCCCTTGGAAAAAAAGACATTATGCTGGGAAAGGCAGTGGGGTCAGAGAAACAGAGACCCTTAACAAGATGGACTGACACTGTGACTGTAATAGTAAGCCCTAACATGTTGGAGGATGTAAGGATGACACAGAATAGGGCAAAGTTCAGATCTGTTGTTTATAGAGTTGTTACAAATTTGTTCAAGACGAAGGTGCACTTGAGTCAGGTATATTCAATTGCTTCTTATGTTTCTGAAAGCTCGTCACTAAATAAGGATGACAGGTGACTTGCTGGCTTTGAATTGTAGTATTGACAAATAATACTGAATACTCCACGTTCTGCCAAAAGAACAAACAAGTTGGCCTTGGAGGATATGCAACCAGGCTGCTCCTCCGTAGAGACGCAGATGGTGAAACTCTGCTTCACATACTCTGGGCATGTTTGCCAGGAGAGGCCTGTTCTTGGAAAAGGACACCATCCTGGGAAAGTTGGGAGAGTCAGAGAAAGAGAGCAAGATCCTGGATGGATGGACTGACACAATGACCGTAACAATGGACTTGAGCATGAGGGTGATCATGAGGATGGTGCAGGTTAGGACAAAGTTCAGACCTATGTTCATAGAGTGGTGAACATAATCAACTTGCACATAATAACAATCACTCTGGTGGCTGAGTCATGAGGGTGATTTCAGTTTCTAGACTGAAAGATGACTAAGGATATCATAGTCTCTGAGATTTGACCAGTCTCTATCAGACCAGTTATATTGTTATTAAGTGCCAAAGAGTCAAAACAGACTCATAAAAACCCTCTGGTGGGTTTTCACAGGCTAAAACAGCACTGGAGGAGACTGCTCATCTTTCTCCTACAATTACACCGATAAGCCTTCAATTGAATACGCACATTTTCCTCCTACTGAACCTGATCCCTTTCAGAACAGTCAGTAGTGGTAGACGAGCATCCTTTAATTCTGATTTCAGGGTCATGGAGACTGAAATTCACATGATTCATTAGTGCTCTGGAGACTGTTGCAACATTTCTTTGATTTTCTTCAATCTTCTTTGCTTATAGAACCCTATGAAGAACAGATCTGAACTGTGTTCTATCCTGTGCCATCCTCATCATGTGATACACTTTAAGTCCACTGATACTGTCATGGTGTCAATAAACCTCAATGAGGGGCTTCTTCTAGTTCACTAATCCTGTCTTTCCAGCATGATGTCATTTTACATCGACTGGCACCTCCTAACAACAGGCTCAAAGGACATGAGATGAAGTTTCATCATTCTCACTTCTAACTCTGGTTGCACTGCCTCCAAGATATATTTGTTTGTTCTTTTGGCAGTCCTTGGGATTTTCAGTATCTTCCTTCAAAACCACAACTCAAAGGTCTCAATGATTCTTCTGTCATCCTTTTTTACTTTCTTTCTTTCTTTTTTCATTCTTTGGCTAAGACAGCAGAAGAGATGATTTATTGTGCCAAGTGACATCCAACCACAATTAAGCAGAGTTGGTCCAGAATATTATAGGTTCAGGGCAACAGATCAAAAGGGCCTGGTTTCGAAGGAGGAAAGTGGGCCTCTCAGGTGTTCATGGCGATCGAATGGCGATGGACATTCTCGATCACTTGAGTCAGAAGTTCTAGACAGGAGCATGCAGTCCAATTGGTATCAGCGTCCCCAGCCTGTGGCATTCTCTACTCCTGCCGCTGTCATGTCTACTTGGACTTCTGCCTCATCCTTCTTCTTTTACACTTCAGTCTGTGCGTTCGCTTTTTCCTCCACTTGGCCCTCATGGTTCAGAGGTCTCGAACAAGATGGCGCTAAAGTGGAAAAAGCTCTTTTTCACTTTCTAATCAAGTAAATGAAAAGATTATGACTTGGATTGGCCATATCTTAGTCTTTAAATTGCCACTGTTGTTCTTTAAAACTTTGGAGAGGTTTCTGATAGCAGATATTCCAAATGCAACATATCTTTTAATTCCTGACTGCTGCTACCAAGGGTGTTGACGATGGATCCAGGCAAGATGAAATTGTAGGTAACTTTAATCTTTTCTCCATTTATAAGCTATTGGTTCAGTGGTGAGAACTTTTGTTTTCTTGATGTTAGATGTAATCCATATTGAAGGCCATAGAGTCTTTGATCTTCTGCAGCATGTTTTAAGTCCTATGCATATTCAGCAGGCAAGGTTTTGTCATTTGCATAACACAGGTTATCGGTGAGTTTTCCCCTGACCCTGATGCCAAGGAGAGTTCATTTTGTCAGGCTGTTGTGGCTGGTAGAGTGAGCTTTTCAGTTTTAGTTGTCCCTCAAGGTATCTAATCCTGATCTAATTCATAACTAATTCTGAGTCAATACTGAGTCATCAAACAATTATGTTTTAAAAAGGCTCCTCTAAGATTTTCCCAGTATATTATAAACCATGCACACTCAGTGTTCCAGTTACAATGTTCTGTTACACACTGTTTCCAATACTAAATAAGGAATGGAGATGGCGTGTTGTTGACACATCTTTAGGTAATATCATAAATTGATAGCTTGTGATTTTTTTAAATAACTTATCTGTAGAAAAACATATATACCACCAAAGCTTACTTTATTTCTTAAAATAAATGTTGACGATGCCTTAAGCTTTTTTCCTAATTATAAAGAAAAGGGTGAGAGTAGCATATCATATTCTAGTGCTGACTGAATTTTAAGTGAATTCTTGGCAATACCATTCTTTTCTGTTGTTTTAGTATATATAGAAGTGTTATCAACTCTACTAACTAATTTCTTCTCCTAAAGCAGGCTGGTTTGCAGGTTACCTAATGTTCAGCAACTAAGTACCACTGGCCACTTAGATTTCGGCCAGCACAGTAATATCATTGTTGCAATTTTAATTACCTTTTACTATTATTTTTTCTTATTGTGATGAAAATAGATTAACCAAAATACTAGCCAACTCAATAATTTCTAAATTTACAATTCAATGCACTGATTAAATTTTTCATGTTGTGACATTATTATTTCTTTCTAAAATATGCCATCATTATTAACATAAAACCCAGCCACCCAACCCAAACCTGTTTTAGTCCCCTTCTAATATCACTACTAACCATTAATAATTTTAATTTCCTACATATTTATTTCCTATAAGTGATCATATAATATTTGCCCTCTCTTGGCTTCTTTCACTCAGTGTAATGCCAAGGTCTTCCACGTAGTGGCACACATCAGAACATCACGTCTCTTTACAGCTATATAATATTCCATTGCTTGAGTCTATTATGTTGTCTATCCATTCATCTGGTGAGGCACATATTTCACGTCTTTCCACCTTTTGGCTATTATTAAAAATGCTGCAATGAACACTGAATTCCTACCTTCATGTCTCAAGGTTACTTACCTAGAATTAGGATTGTTAGGTAACATGATAATTTTTAGCTCAACTTTTTGGGAAAGTGCCAAATGTTTTTCCACAATGATTGTATCATTTTACTAATATTTTTAAAAAAATATCTCTCACTCTTGTATTCACTGCCCACTTCTACATATTTACTTACTTCGACCTTAAGAGTTTTAAGTGACTACCCAAAGTGGACCATTGCTTTCAAATGATCAGATGACACAAAGGATTGTTGTTGTATGCTGCCAAATTGACTGGGACCCACGAAAACCCCCCAGAGTCAAATCATCGCTACAAGGCCTTCTCTCCTGGGAAGCTGCTAGCAGGTTCTATCCATCAACCTTTGGGCAGTCACTCACTCGGGCACTGCCAAAAGTTACCGTCTTTTTGGTCACCAAAGCAACACTGTTGGCATTTTTAATATTACCTTCTACTTCTATTATTATTATGGAAGGAGGAGTGGCATCCACTTCTGTAATAAGTTGCCTCCGGAAACCCTATGAACCTGGAGAGAGGATGAGAGACACCCAAGCATTGAGGACTCTCTTTCATAGAGTCACCTGTGACTTGACGGCACTTAACAACAACAACAACAATTTATTATTATTATTATTATCATTATTAATTCCTTCTTGTAGTAACTTAGCTAGCCAACACCTGGGTCACTACATTAAGGCTCTTTCATATGAAACTGGCAAAATATTAATCTTTTTTTCATCAACTGAAAGTAACATTTGGTAAATTCACTCTTTGTTGTCTTCCTTCTAGAACATGAGATTTTCTATAGAAAATCTTTCTTTCTCTTTGAACAGGTATATGAAATCATTCTTTTAGCAGATAGCTCTGGATAGTTTGGACTTGACATTAGACTCAGACTTGTCTGACAATTCAAGGCCAAAAACTATAACCCAACTTCAACCTATCATATTTTGGATCCAAAAACACTGGATAGTGCCTGAGATAATGTCAGGTATTCAGTCCACAAAAACTTCTCTAACTAGCATAACACTATGTGATTTAAGTATAACAATAGGAATAAAAATATGCCATAAATATATGCTAAATCAATGGCTTTTTAGAATTCTAAACTCAAATCTGAAATATAGACTGCACTAAACTGTTTACTGAATGAATAAACTTTTTTAAGGCTGCCTCCACCCTCCCAAGTATGACATCCCCCTCCAAAGACTGGTTCCACCTTGCAACAT